GATATCAAATGTCTTTCCCAAACTCTTTCCAAGCCATCGGGGGGGTCTCACACTGTCCTACAGATACACATTCACACACCTCTCTGTCTCTGATTAAAACAAATGACATGCAAAGGAAGGAAATTTCCATGTGAGAAATGAATTTTATTTGACATTGCATCAAGTTCCTCTGCATTCTAGGTGGTTTTTCTCTGGTACTGTAGTTCCTTTCGCATGAAAAGACAACACAGTGATGTGTCGTGGATGTAATTTATTAACCCATACCTTCGTGCCACAGTCCAATAACATAAACCAAAATACAGTATACAAAGCAAAAGAATGAATATAGTTCTAAGAACTTTGAAAATCAATATTTGATAATGACCACTATTTATTCAACACAGTCTGCGCTCTCTAATGGAAGCTGTCTTGTAGTTTCGTTAAGTAGTCTTCAGGAGTACTTCTCCAGGCTTCTTGAAGGACATTTAAAGCTCTTCTTTGGATGTTGGCTGCCTTTGGTTTCCTGTCAAGATGAGCCCACACTACTTCAACACGGCTCCACCATGTTTTAGAGTCGACTGTAGACACTCACTATTGTCCCTGTGTTTCAAATTTGGATTCATCACTCCATAAAACCTGTTGCTACTGATTTCAGTCTGTGTCTTGTGTAATTTGGCATACCTCAGCCTTTTCTCTATGTTTTCCTTACTCAATAATGGCTTCCTAACAGCAGCTCTTCCACTGACACCATTTCTGATGAGGCTTGAGTGAACAGCAGATGTATCAATTGAAGGGGCAATGCATCTCTCAGGTCCTCCGTCAGGTCTTTGCTGGATTTGTTTCCCCTGTTTCTTAAAGACCTGACTATCAGACGCTCTTCTGCTGTAGTCTTTAGACCTGCACCTTCTTTTGTGTTACTCCATCAGATTTTTTTAAGGGCATACCACACACCATACTGAAAGATGCCAAGTTTTCAACTAAGAGCTCTTTGAAAATGACCTTCTTGGTACAGTTTTATGCCTTTCAAACTGTTATCTTTGGCATTTCATATTTTGATGTAACAAATGATGAGTTTTGTGACAGCTGTTAGTCACAAAAAGCCTAAAGATACAATTTAAAATGGGTTCTTTGTTAAGTTGTGTGATGTGTAGACACAACATTGTTTCATGCCTTGACTTAGGTGCCGTTTTCAGAGTTGAATGATTTGTAGGTCAGTGTTAAGTTGGTCAACAAACAAACACATTCTTCTGAAAATGTGAAGGTACAAGGACTGGACTCAAGATGACTGAAAAAGCAGCCAGTTTCCAGTGTTAAAAAAAAGTGGAAAACTTTCAAAACTCTTGCCCCAAACCCTCTTTAGAAGTCTATTTTTCTATATGTTAGCTGTTGCTATTGCACTTAATGTCCGTCATAATAGAGGGCATTATTCATCAACAATCCAATAGAAATGATACTGTTAAAATGACACAGACAGCATTAATCTGACTCTCCCTCTGGCAAAGAAGTTTCCATTCTGAGCTGACAACATAATACTTTAATAGTTACTCTGTCGTTACATTCACTGTAGCAGTATACCTGTTTTATGGATTTTTTTTAAGAGCTAGAAACGCTAAGTAATAAAATTAATGAAACCTGCATTTCATTTATCTGCTTGACAATCGGGGTCCTGGTATTTTGTATGCTGACTGTCAACCTGTAATGGCTGTCTGGGACACCTCACTGTAAGAAAAGCCAGGCCTGGTTCACCTGCTATATCGAGTCAAAATCTCTTCTTCAGAGCAGGGCCACTGTATGGCTGATATTACACTGTTGTCCAGTGGTGAACCCACAGCAAATCACCCAATTAAAACCCACGTTTTTGTTTTCAGCAAGAATTTTCTGAATGAGAGAAATAAAAATAGAAGTTAGATGTTTGATTGTATGATGTGTGATTGACAAGGATCTCTAAAACTAAAAAGTATTTGTATTAATATTATTATTTTTTTAAACACAAACCTAAGTACAATAACTTAAAAATGAAACTAGTTATTATATGTTGTTAACAACTATTGTAACTGCAGTTGTAACCACTGACCTACATTATGAACAGATAATTCAAAAAGTTGTTTATTAAATACTGTCTGGTTATTGATTAACTGTACTAAAAATCAGATAGTGGCTTCTTCATGTTGCTCTACTGTTTTGCTCCACGTTGATCACAGCAGCGGAACGAAGGACATTTAATAAACTGGACTAGTCTTGTAAGATTTTACGAAGTACATATTACGGTATTCGCATGATAACAGAGCCATCGTCGCGATGAAGTCCATGTCCAAGGTAAATAAAGTATTTCTACAGCAGATACAACACGCCAGAGGTTTAATGTGGGAACTTTGACCTTGACTTAACCTTTAGTGCTTTTTCTTTCTTTTGAGCTGTGCTGCTTGTCTTCATGAAAAGCCAATAAAACTAGCAAACTAACATCTTCCAAACGCCTTCTTCTACTGGACAAGCCACACTCTCAAGCAGGACAAAGAAAGGAAGAAAAATCTCCTTATTAAAGAACTTGGGCTGTACTTTGTGCACTCTTTTACCATCCATTTTTTCGTCACTGTTATTTAGGTGGCCAACATTGGTTCGGACTTGCATAGGCTAACATTGTCTCTTAACGTAAATTAGCCGCTGCTTGCTAACAACGTTAAATGCTACTTACTTATTTATGATTTCATGCTTTAATTTTAAAGAAATACTTCCCGATGCATAACAATTAAGAATAACTGTAAAAACATGGAAGCAAAAGGCAGCTGAAGCTGATGCCAACGCTGGCATCGGTATTGGATTGATACTGACGCAATAGGATCGATATCTTGATGCATGCTCAGTCATCCAGGTAAGTAAATCTCCAAAAGTTGATTCTGTTCATCTGGAGGTAGCTGGACGTTTAACTGGACCTCCCAGCCCATTGTTCCTTCAGTGGGCTAGTTTCAGTCATTATGCAATGCACCATTTATAAGATTGGGGAAACCTGCAGTCAGCTGAGACTGAAGAAGTCACCTGGATGAGTGATGAAACGTTTCTCCCACAAAACGCTATGTCCAGATGAACAGAGTCAACTTTTGGAGAATGGGATCGATACTTTGCTTCTATCCTCCACTACAGTATGTTGCCCATTACATTTTCTTAAATAAATTATTTGTTTAAATGGAAAAATAGAGCTCAAACATGCATTGTGAAACATTTATTAGCCTTTTTGTGCTGACTGTATAGTCTTTAACCTATATACATAGCAAACACTAACCCAAAGCGATTCAGAGTCTCAAAAAATGTCTGTGAAGGTTCTCAGTCATCCAGGTCATCATAGTCAAATGAGCTTGCAACGAAAAGGGTCTGGACTTCTTTAAGTTGCTTTCGCATGATATCATGCGGTGGGGGGCCAGGTTTCACAATGAGCTCAACTGAAACCCTGGCTGATTGGGACCCACACCCATTTTCACACCTTGGCTCTTCAGGGGTCCTTTTGTCCCTCTGTGGGGGGATACTCCCACTAGGTTTAA